GGGGTCTGATGCAGCAAATTCTGCGCTTTCTTTCTACGTGTAGAAAAATGAGAAAAGAATGGATCCTGTCATTTTTCTCTGAAAAATACGTAGGGGGGAAATTCATTTGGTGCCTTCTGTAGTAATAAGCTTTCTAAGATGTGAAAAGAAATTTCACGTTCATTCACATCAAATACATCAACATTATTCAGATATTCATATTTAGTTTCTGACACAATCATAATAAACAAATTTTCAATCATATCAATTGAATTAGAACATGTGTAAATCATTGTTATCGATTAATCAACCAATCAAACTACTTGATGCTGGTGATTCATTAACCATGTTTTAAACGCCATTACATAAACAATTGTTTGTTTACCGTTTATTAGTGGTAAGAAGCTGATAGTATATGTTGTTGAAATTAAAAGTTAATTATTATATTAATTAACTTTAGCTTAATTAAATTAGCTTCATTGAATGTGTTAAATTATTAATAACACATTCAATGAAGCTCAAATGTCTGTCATTGTTGTATCTAAATGAAAAGATCGCTGAATGAAATGTGATTAGACCGCGCATTTGATGAAATAGCGAACAACAATAACTGATTGAAAGATTAACAGCAGAAAATTCTGAAAACAAGGTATAAAATGAATGAATTATATCGTCAATTACAGGATTGTATGATGACCATCGAACTTGATCGATTAGTATTCGAAACCAAATCACAATGTCAAGTCACTAAATTAAAATATGAACTACACAAAGAATAGTAGAACAACATGAGAGCGATCGAGAATGAATTTTATTTAAAAAAGACAAACAGAAAATAAGAAATTAATCAAAGAATTTAATTATCGAATAGAACAACTGACAGAGAAGTAACACATTCTGACAATGAGAAGACAATATCTTTAAGTGCAAAAATACAATGAGTTTGTACAATTCTCTGAGTAAATATTAAAACTAAAATCGTATTTAGTTCTATTTTTCAGTAATCCAAGCTAAAATTCACTGTTTTTTACGATAAATGCTTGTACATGAACATCGATTTATCAAAAATTTCTAAAGTTTTTTTTGTTGAGTCATTACTAATATGCCCATATAAAGTACTGATGCTCCAGATCCAGATGCTATACTTTGTATTTCTGAGCACGATAAAATGAAAATAAACATATCGAAGGTAAGTTTTAATTTGTTTATATAGTGCAAGACAAGCACTAGAGCGTTAAGCCACAGCAGAAATTTCTCCTGAAGACTTTTTTAGCGATTGTGCACTCGAATCAAGATTATTTTCATTCTTTTGAAATCTACTTTTTAGCTAGTGATGGTGAGAAAGCCGATCGTTTCTCTTCGTTTTTAGTGGAATTCACGAGTAACTGGAAATCAGTTGACTAATAAAATATAGATTAAACTAACTGAAAATTAAATAATACATTGTTTTTGGTGATTTTTTTTCAGATGTATTTTTTTATTATATATATTTACTTTATATTTTCAAAATGAAGAATATATTAATTATGTGGTTTTGTTACGTCTTCTTTCTCTTGTTTTCTCAATATATAGTGCTAGAAAAATTATGGAGAGCTAGGAGATGCCTCATTTTATTCAAAATTGTTTGCACTACACGACTGAGCTGTCAGAAAAAAATTTGAGTTCGGAAGGTGAACGTAGTTTTCTAGAGTTTGGATTTTTTTCAACAGTTTTAATAGAGCTTTTATTTTTATCACTACTGATAGGATCGAAAAATCTTACAACTACTCAAATCATATTAAAAAGCTGATTTTTAGTTCTCTAATTGAGAAAAAAAATCGAAAGATGTGTATGTGTTCCTTTGATTTTTTTCAATAAATAGAGTTCAGACCAATGATAAGTATAAAATGAATATATCTAGACAAATTCAACAAGTCTTCAATTGGCTTTTGAAGTTATTAATATATGATTTGTTTGTTTAATTCGCTTAGTCTCATGATCTAGTGAATTTACTATGGAGATGTACAGAGTAGCTGCTAGTTCAGTCCTAATCCTGTCCTACCCTATGCTTTCAGATGATCCTAGAACCCTTGTCGCACTCTACTCATTGAAAATTTTGAGAATTTCATAACAAAGATATAATCTATTTTTTTAATCAAAGCTCTGGCTCGTCTCTTCCCTTCGGGGTAGGATAAGGGCGTCTACACATTTCTACTTTATTACTGATATCTATCTAAGGTATGACGTTAAGATCCATTTTAAAAATTTACTGCAACGTGATCACTAAACATACAAAATGTTCTGAAGTTTTTTATGCGCTAGCCTTACGTTACATAACTTATTTTTATTCAAATCACCAAGTTTTTAATCATTTCTTTAAATATCTCACTTGCTGCTGGTATTGTTAATGAATTCTTTTCTAAAAACAACTTTAACTGTGATAATATTCATTTCTTTTTCTTCTATTGAGTTTCAAAGATTTATTGTTGTACAATATGTGTGATAACGATTTGTGTCCATCGTGGTTACATTGTAATAAATGTTTTAAAACAAAACAAGATCACAAAATCGAACAATTTTTCTTTGGAAACTGTCATCATATATTTTGTCAAGATTGTTTAAAACAATTGACACCGCCAATTTGCATCATTTGTAGACGTTCAATTAAAATTATTCCTATTGAAAATGATATATTATCCAGTTCATTCAAACATTTATTCATGGATCCAACTGAATTATTGAATAATATAAATGCTGACGTTAAAAAAGAAGCAGACAACATACATTTGGATAAGTTTAAAAAAATACTTCTAACAAATGCATTTCAACATAATAATATTCATGAATTAAATCATAGTTATTCTGATCAAATTGAAAAAGCAAATTATGTACAACAATTATGGTTAGAAGAACAACGATTACAAAATCAATATGAAATATTGATAAAAATTGCACAAGAATATGATCAACAGTCATCATCATTAGCGCAAGAAAATCAGCAACAAACGATGACTAATTTAACTCCATCGTCTACACAAATACAACAGACAATGTTCAATACTTCATTATCTCTTCAAAATCCGTCAAGCATTCAAGAACAACACACAACGATGCTCAATCCCTCTTTAATACAACAGTCAACATTGTCTCAACAACACATTGAATCAATTTATTCTAAAATTCGTCCAGGAATTATTTTAGAAACCAGATCTCGGTCTTCTTCCACTTCAACAACACCAGCAAATTGACAAGGCTTTTATTCCTCATTTATATATATAACTGTTGTCCGTTTTTACATGTATCTATTTTTTTGTCAAAATGTTAGTGAATAAAAAATTAAGTTTCTGTTGTTTAATATTTATCGCTGACTGGTTCTTCGATTGTTATTCACAGACGTGATTTCTGTATCTCACAATATCCGTTAAATACAGCAGACCGCAAAAGTAACAAGCACCCTGTAATTCAAGAACCATGATAGCTAGGGACTTCTGATTTTGTGTGTTCATAGCTCTTACCAAATGCTGATCACCTACCAAGTTTGGACCTATTTTACTAGATGGTTCGTGAGATATAAGTGATTTATGTCTTTTTCGTAAAATATCAATAGCTCCTGCCCTAAGAGAGATGATAACTTTTTCTTTTTACTCAAATGCAGTCACAACTCTACTCTATCTACAATATAATATTTTGTGAGTTGACTGTTAGTGGTTAGTGAAATACAGCTATTTTACGGACGAGGTCCTTGAAAGTGAGGTTCTGAGATATGACGTCCTTTCCAAGAAAAATTCATAACTCATTCTAGAAACATCAGTTCGGCTTCAAACTCACAGAAAATACTCTTCAACGACTGTCGACTATCCATTCAAAGTATGAAGGTTAACCATTGTGTGGTTCTAGAAATTCATTGAGAACGAGCACTCACGATTGAAACATATGTAGAAGAGCGAGGGTGAGGAACTAAGGATCGCTCTTTCTTTTATAGAATCTGCATTCAATGTACATTATACTCATGAAAAAATAACCATAGAAACTTATGGTTCCGAAAAACGTAGGTGGAAAATTTTTGTCAGAAAGATTACACACTCATCATTAACCTAGAGAGAATACTTTCAATAAAAATTTTTTGCCCGAAAAACAAATGTTAAGTATGCTATTCGACTCAGTTTTGTTTGCTGATCTCAAATATGTTATTAGTTTTGCTTGAAAATAGAAGAGAAGTAAAAAGGGCGCAAAATAAGTGTAA